GCCTTTGACGTGACCTGTGTTGAACTTCTGTCAGGTTAAAGTACCTCCACTTACCGCTGGTGGAAGAAGAATTCTGATCATACACTGTCTGAGGTAAAGGACAGCGGGGAAATAGTGTGTTGAAAATCTGAAGTACAAGCACAAAATTGTCATTAAAATGAGTGGAAGGTATTGAGCTGTGTAGTAAAATGTTGCCTGTGATTGAAATCATCAGAGTGATTACTGCACTCATTAACATGAATGTACTCAGTGGCAGAGAGCAGCTAATGTGACGATGCTGAAGTAAGAGTCAGGCCTGCAATGTTGAGTCATCCTTGCGAATTCAGTGATTGGATTTCTTTTGAAAAATGTTTTTCTATTTTCATACCAGTGTAAAAATACAATAGCATCTAATGTTTGATGTTTTTGTTTTTTTTCTTACTTCATTTCCTTTCACCATGGAAGCAAACTGTTCCAAAAGAAAATCGAGCGTCTCTTCGATCCCAACTACCAGAGCAGAGATTCACCGGGAAATGCCTCAACTCTCTACAGGTGAGAACAAGCTTCTTAGTTTTGCTTACTCTTTCATATGTTTGAAACATTTTTTTTTTTCTGCTACCTTAACCGTTATTCTTTGTCATACATGCGTCCCAGGTGTGGTCTGTGCCTTAAGCTGCTGACCAAAGACACAGAGAGGAAGATTTCTTGTGTCCCAGGGAAAATCAACATTGATCCTCGTGGAGAGATCATCTATACACACACTAGGTAATATAGCAGTCATTTAAGAGGACAAAGCATCGGACAAAACCTATGTACTCGTAATTGCACATAGCTGACACATTCAAGAAGAATTTTATTTGGTTTTTAGGAGATAATTACTTTTACTTTTTTACCTGCTCATGTGTGTATGTGTGTGTGTATTTGCAGACAGAAGAGCTGGGATGTGCATGAATACATCACAAGCCTGTATGAGGAGCTCAAGTCCTGGGTCCTAGTTTACTGGAGAATCTGGGGTACTATCAACTACCTCACCTGCTCCCGATGCCAACAGGTTAGAGAGTGATGAGGAAAGATAATAGTTTTGATGTATTGTTTTGAGAGAAAAACCACATTACGCAAAGTATGTCTGTGTGTGTATATGTGTGTGTGTGTGTGTGTGTGTGTGTGTGTGTGTGTGTAGGTGTTTGTGTGTGCAGAGCTGACCCATTGCAAGTACCACCCCAACAGTGTGCTGTATCCTGGCATGGGTGCAGAAAAAGGCTGGCATGGTGCAGGAATGTATCCCTGCTGCAACCAGCGGGTTCTCCGCTTTGACCCCACTGGGATGCCCAAGGTAAGAACAAACACAGACATCCATCACTTCAAGGACATTGCTTTTAATTTAATTAATTTCCCCGTCTTCTCATCCTGAGCACAAGTACTACCCATGTAAGCTAAAGCTAACCTTGAACCCTGTCTTCAGACTAAAATGTAATAATGAGTTACATGATGGACACTTTTGTCCCCATAAGGGAGGTGACTCATGTCTGTATTCCTTTGGTTTGCCACAGGATAAAAACAAGGAAATGAAATGAGCTGAATTCTTGCTTACTTTACAAAGACCTTCTGAAACGACCGGGACAAATGTTGATGCCTATTACAAGTTGTGATAAATAACTGGATAGTAGTGATATTTCAAGTAGACTGTTGTCTTCAGTTAGTATCACATGAGCCTTATGATCAATCATTCAGCCTGTTGGAAGAGAAACATACTCAGACTTGGTGTCATTGTGTGGCCACACTGAGTATGGAGTAGATCAAGAGAAACTAGACCTGTCTAAAGAGAAATAAAGACTAATAAAGTAGCCTGATGTCACTGTGAGCACTGCTGCTAGTACTGTCAGGACGTTTAAGATCCATGTGATTGTAACTAACCTCTCTGGATGTTGCCAAAAGAGAAACCCTGACCCCAGATTAAACAGAATGATGGTGGAAAACCTCAAAACAGTACAAGCAGACCTCTAAGATCAAAACACTACAATAATCTCCCCTGGACAGATGATACTAAAGTAGTGGTCTTTGCTCTGTGTTCACAGACAAGACAAAGAGAAATATATCCTCCCCACTGTGAAACATGGAGGAGGTTCAGTTGTTTCATGGGGCAGCTTCAGGCAGCTGGCTTTGTAGTTCGCTTCACTTGTTTTGGACCAGTGGGGAAAAAAACGACACTGTAGCAGTTTAGTTCTGCTTTGGTGTGTTTTTACAAGGACAGTTCATTAACAAACCTAGAGGAGTAAATGTAAAGTCATACAGAGTGTTATTATTGTTGTGTTTTTAAGCTACAAATCTTTGCCTGCTGTAAAAAACGATTATGAAGACATTTTGTACAGAAATAGCTTCGAGCATGTGCTGAAACCACATATCAGAAAATGCTGTGGTTTGCTTTCAGACCACAAAATTGCATCAAGGTCTGCTTGGAAGTTAACCAAGGTTGTCTTCTGAGTCTGGTTTGATGGGCAGCTCTTTCACTGGCCCAGGTGCACCATCCATCCATCCATTATCTATCCACCACTTAGTCCTCATTAGGGTTTCGGGGGGCTGGAGAACCTGGAGAGAACCCACACTGCACGGGGAGAACATGCAAACTTCATGCAGAAAGATCCCGTTGCCCCCACCGGGACGCCAACTGGCAACAGTGCTACCAGCTGCACCACCCTGCAGCCCCCAGATGCACCAGTCAGCTTTAAATTCTGATGCACGTTTGTGTTTTCAGGGCTGTAAGATGCGAGACCACATCGTGAACGTACCTGATGAGGAGAACTGTGACGAGGTGACATCTGCCCAGACCAGAGTTCTCAATGACCTGCTGCTGCACAGAGACGCAGTGTGTTTGTCTCACACACCCCCTGCAGAGGGGTGAGTGTGTGTGTGGATTGTTTCATTTCTGTCTATATGTGAACATTTTACGGGGCCCTCATTAGAAATGCTCAGTGTGTTTGTGTTTGTGTGTGTGTGTCAGAGCTGAGGAGAGTCCGCCCGGTGCAGAGAAGGTCCAGGACTGTGACGTCCTCTTGGAGCCGACACTCCTCGGTCCACTGAGAGGAGACGGCAGCACTGTAAGTCTGTCACAGTGTCTGTTTATCAGCATGTTCCTCTGTTGGTGCCTGTTTCTGGTTCTTACTTCATCTACTTTGTCTTTTTAACCAGTTTTCCCTTTTGAAAAACTGGAGTCTTCAACTGGTAGGACTTTCCTCATTTTCTTTATTATATCTGCTGAGATTCTTGTTGTTGTGTTCTGCAAACACATCAAGGTGGTTAAATGGTGCTTTAAATCAACAGGTAAATAAACTCAAGCGTGAGACTACTTTGTTTGCCAATCACTGTTTAAAAGCTGTGACCTTTGCTCTTCCAGAGGCAGCAGTCGCTCCTGTCAGAGGATGAGGAGTACACCACCGGGTCAGAGGTCACTGAAGACGAGGTGGGGGACGAAGAGGAGCAGTCCAAGAAACAAGGTGGACCATCTTTGTGGCTTTTTGTGACAAATTGGATCATGTTGCTCAACAGTAGTGTTTAAAGGAAGAGTTGATCATTTAGAAAAAAACAAGTATTTACGTCCTTACTTTATCTCAAGACTGAGATGACAACATAATACCTCCAGTGGTGGAAGGAATACTCAGAACGTTTACTTAAGTTATAAAAAAAACATTACAGTAAAGTATTACCACATAGCCAACAGCAAAGTCGCTGAGCCCAACAAGCATTTGATAGAGAAAGATGGAGAGTGCAAAGCTGAGCTACACATCTAAAAGAACACCAGCAGTAAGCTACACCACCTCAAAATCAAAGTAATGGGGTGCCGTGATAGCGTGACCCATGTACAGGGGCGAGAGTCCCCAATGCAGCGGCCATGGGTTCGAGTCCCACTCATTACCCTTTTCCTGCAAGTCCTTCCCCCATTCTTCTCCCCCACTTTCCTGTCACTCTCTCTCGACTGTCCTATCTAATAAAGGCAAAAAGGCAAATAAAATAACTTAAACCTTTTTTAAAAAATCAATGTAATAACTATAGCTGCTCAGCAGAATGGGATGTACTGCGTTACCGTACTGCATTACAGAAATATGTAATGTGATTACAGTAGTGCGTTACTTTGTAAAGCGTTACTATTCCAAATCAGGTCAATGAGCACAGGCATTAATTTATTTAACTGCTAAGCTAGATCCTCCACTTCCAGTCTTTTTGCTAAGCCAAACATGTTGTGACTGTATTTTCTGCAGAGACGTGGGATTGATGTCAGTCTTGTCTTAAGAGGAGACGACTGTAATTCTCAAAATGTTTTAACAAAGGACCAGTTAATCCATAACAACAACCAGCTCATCTGTGATTTTCACATCTAGCTCAACAGTTGGGTGGAGAGAATGATGGAAAAGGGTAAAATAAAAGTCTGGGATACTTATCATTACCTCACGTTAGTAATCATGGATATATATTTTGTTGCCATGAAAATGATGTTGCAAAGGTTGTGACAGTTTAACTACAGGTGATCATGGACATTTCTGAGCAGTGGGTTTAAGTTGTAATCACTGAAGGGATGCATACTATCACTGTACTGACTGTATATGTGTCTGTTTGTCTGTTTTTGCAAAGCTTTTTGTAGTTAGTACACTCAGGACACAGAAATCAAATCCCCTCACATACAGTCAGAAAGGTTCTTGTCATTATTTTGTCAGTATTCCCAAACATCAGTTCTTAGAGCCAGAGGGCTGCTAGTTTACAGCTTAATAAAATTATCCTTCTCGCCAGTGATGATGCAAATCCTGTAATACTCTTAAATTGAATGTTCAGTGGTTGTGGTTTATCATGGACTGGAATCCCAGAAATAGCTGCTCCAATGTTTCTGCCTGTGGCTTTGGAGAGATGTTCAGAAACACTCACCCAGTGTGTGGAGAGATAAAGAAAAGGCCACAGCATGAGAGTCAGGTCGGCTGGAGCACATCTGACTATTGTAAGTCTTTGTTTAAATTGAGGTAGATGTTGTTTGTTTGAGAGTTTGGCTCATGAATAGCGGATATGATGGATGATTTTAAAAAGTGATTTAGGCTGAGTGTAGCACAAGAGGCACTTGTGTTTATTCTCCTCACAGCAGCAATCCCAGGTTTCATCCAGGCAACGTTCTCCAATTTCCAGTTGGCAGGCTGCTGTGGGAGAAACTTAGAAAACACAACAATAGTAAAAATACAAGATGAAAGTCTCTTGAGGGGAGGAGAGGAGGGGGGGAGTCCAAAATAGGTCCAAACCTTGACTTTCAGAGCCAGATTGGTAATTTTTGGGTTTGGAGACAAAGCAAAGTGATGCAACTGAAACTAAATATGTTTCAATGAAGGTTGAAGTTTCTTCACAGATATGTTTGTCCAAAGCAGCCTGTAAGTGTGAAGAGGTGACTGTAAGGTACTGGGCTCCAGTTTGAAACTTGAAATCAAAGTAAGATCTGAATTGACACTAGATTGGAGTTAGAAGGGTGAAGGAGTTTTTCATCATGTCTGAAGATGCAGAGAGAAAAACGACAGAATAAAGTCGGGTTTTCCCGCTCTGCTTTCCATAGTTTAACATATGATGACTTCAGGTTAGCATGTGCTTCGATTAATCACCTCTTGATAAATGTCACGTTTGCTTGCATTTCATGTCAGTGGATTTTGCCTCCTTTGACCCCGGCAGTGCTGAGAGCAGCTTCCCTTCAACACCGAGCTGCTCAAATGCTCAAATCTGGTTTAGAAGGCAAAAGCAAAGTGAGGACACATAATGAAATGTGCTTCTATATATAGCACATCACCACTGTTCCACCCTCACTCCACATTTCCATCAACTCCTCTATTTATAACTCGTCACTGTCGTTACTTCCAGTAATCGCGGTTTTCAGAATGGAGAATGAAGCGACGTCTCCTCTCCGCCTGCAGGTGGCGTCTGATGCCTTTCACATCTTTCATCGAGTTCTTTGTTTTTCTGTTTCCAGCTGCTAAGAAGGCCAAGAAGGCCCACAGACCTCTGAAAAAACAAATGTCGTCTCCAAACTTCCAACGCAAAGAAAAATCTGAGAAAGTGAGTCAGACATTTCATTAATATTTCTCTTCACTTCCGCTGAAAAGGAAATTCTGCAGAAATGACAGATGTGTTCACTGTTTTGGTCTCGTGGTCCAACAGGCTCTATTGTTTTCAACTTGGGGCCTTATGATGCCTTAAATATAGATGTGGAGGTCAGCATAGTAACTCTTTTTCTATTTGGATGCACAGATGAGATTTCGCTGACACTCTTACAAGTTATTTATGTGTTTGTTTATTACACCAACACTAATTCCGTGAATTTAGCCTCTAACATCTACTTAAAGAGACACAGTCAGACATCATGTTTCTGCTTATTCACGGTTTTGATTTCTCTCCTTCAGTCACAGACCAGAGACAACACACCTTTCATGTGAGTTCATCTACAAACATGAGATTATTAAGAATGATGTCCTCATATTGGTGCTTGCATGTTGCTGTAATCTGGCTGAGTAACCCGGCTTACGGATAATGATTTTTCTTGAAACAATTGTCAGGTGCACTTATATACAATGAGGTTATGCTTGCTGTAATCATTCCAGGACCGCTCACAAGAGATCCTTTTTCACTGTGTGATTCCGGAGAGAGATTGTTGATATTTAGCTAGTTAGCATATTGACATAGTTAGCATGTGCCAGATTCGCCATCCTTCCTGCTCCCGTTGCCCCCTTTGCCCCCTTTGCCCTCTTTGCCCTCTTTGCCCCTGCCCTGTACATGAGCACGAACGTACAGAGGACATGCTGTGTTGTTGTGTGGATCAGTCTTTCTTTGTTTCCCATTCACAGAGCCAGGGCTGTGTAACAACACCGGATTCTTTTTCAGCACACACACAGAACTGAGAGCCAGCAGACCAGAGATATAGAGGAGATATTCACCGAATTTGAAAAAAACAAAACAAAACTGTAAAGTATTAGAAGATCAAACTCCCCTGTCCTCCCTCTATGTAGAAATACATTCCAAAATGTAGCAAATATGAGGCCTTGCAGTCTGAAACCATCCTGATAAGTGGACATGTTCCAAGGTCACTGTTCTCCTTTGTCTCTTTTACACTGTTTACAACGATAAGAGGAGTTTTATTCTAAAAGACAGCATAGAAATGACTGGTTTTGCTAATGCCATGTTACATTATTTCTTGTCTGATAAGATGGTCATTGTGTGAGCTTAAGGAGCCATTAATTCTGCCTGTGATTCGACCTGATCACAATCACCATGTTTGTGAAGAAGGTACCAAGAACCGAAGCAGGAATGTAAACAAACGATGACGTCCGAGGTGGTGTGTTTGAAAAAAAACCCAAAAAAATGTCCGACCTTCAGCGTGCGCGTTTTGCTTTATCATGTTTCGGGTTGTGTGTGGGAAAACGCTCTGCGCTCCTGTTAGTCATCATCGTGGACATTAAAGATGCCGCTTGTTATCATCAGCCGGGATCCAGTGCGCTGGGGAAAATGATTAGTAGTTGCACCTGACACCCTGTGTCTTTCAGATGGGGCTAATATCAGACCGATGTAATCTCGTTTGAACCAGTGTATCTGTCCTGTGATGTATTTTTACGTTGAAGGAGGACTGCACGCTTTGTCCTCATCACTCACACTGAGAAAAAACATTAAGAAGAGATCTCTCGCTGCCCAGTACGAGCAGGAGGAATGATTACAGCCAGCAAACCCTGATCCACTGTTTATGTGGACACCTGACTGTAGCTTAAAGACACACCTCGAACAATGTGAAGCTGAACTTTAAATGTATTCTGAATATGTTGACACTCAGTGAACATGTATCCATCTGACACAAAGATTAAACACTCACGCCTGTAAGTACGTGTATTTGAAGCTTGTTAACAGCTCGGTGTGTGTGTTACAGAGTGAGTGTCCAGAAAAGTAAGTGGGACAGCTCTCGCTCCATGCGCTACAACCAGGACGCTCAGAGAGAAGAAGGTAAAGGTCCTCCGTCCTGTGAGGCGTATCCAGTACGTGGCACCCGCTGAACCAGCCTTATAGATGTTCTCATTATTTTTGTCTTTCTAACCAGATCAGCGTCGCATGGTGGAGATCATTGGCCACCTGACTAAGATGAGGTTTGGAGAGCAGGAGCAGAGTAAATCCAAGGATACTAAAGAGGTGCATGTCTGTTTGTGTGCTTGAATACATAGCTGTGATTTAGGAGGCTGGAAATGTGAGTTTGACCAGGATTTATTGTCTCATTTCACATCATGTGGTCGTGATTGGTGTTGAGCCGTCAGACCTGCTGTCCTAGTTTTTGCAGCTGCTGCCTGATGTTTTTGTTCCGGACTGTGTGTGTGTGTGTGTGTGTGTGTGTGTTTGCAGCCTGTAGGGGGAATCTACTCCAGACTGGAAGCACAATTCAAGAGTACCTCTCAAACCAGACAGAGTGCAGAAAAGACGCCCAGGTACTGTACAGTGTTACACACCGGCTGCCTCTTACATCCCGTTCAATAATTGACCATTTCTCTTCTACATCCGCAGATCTAAAATCCGTTACGCTCAGGTCCGAACGACATAAAAGGACTCGATGAGACAGAAACCACCGAGCTGTTCAAGAGACCAGCGCTTAGACCAGATGAAGAGGACAAAGAGGAAGGAGGAGAGTCCTTCTGTGAGGGCTCGTCCTCCCGGCAGCCCCTCCAGCACGGCCACCACTTATAACCCAGCTGTGGACCCCCCTCAGTCCTTCCCCTTGTCAGTCCCGTTCCCTCGCTTCTTTGCTTAACTCAGGTGACTATGTATGGATCACCATCAACTGCATCCTACTCTGTCGCTCAGCTCGCTGTTTATTTGTGCAGCTGTGGCCAGTTCGTGAAAAACAAGGTGAACTGTGGATCCAGCTCAGCTCGTAGGAAACGCACTCTGACTTCTCTCAGTGTTTCTGCAGGCACAGATGTGTAGGGGTTTCTGAGACATGCATGGAAGTCCTTCTCTGCCAGTTAAAGAATTAAAGAAAAACTAAAGTTAGACATGAATATAGAAATATTTCGTGATAAGTCGTTATTTGGAGTCAGACGAGATTAATCCCTCAGTCAAAATTTTGACTCAGGAAGTCCAAATAATGAGATTAACATTCAAAGCAATTAATCTAAAAAAAAATATGAGATAGAAGGTCAAAATTGTGACTAAGTCATAAAATGAGAGTAAATTTTGAAATTACAGCATAAAGAAATTTGAATAATTTGGAAGAAAATCTAAATAATGAGATAAAAATGTCAAAATTATGATGAAAAGCTAAAATAATGAGATGAGAAAATTAAATGAGAAAGAAAATTGGAATCGTGATTCTAAATTTTATGGGGGGGGATAATCTTTTCTTCAATATATGTAGTGTTATAATAATATTAGTTTTTTCTTATTCTGGGAGAAAAGGTCTTCTGTTGTGTTTCTGAAGTGACTCTAACGTTCACATTAGTTTGAGTTCATTAATGCTGAAGATCAGAGGAACAGAAACCTCGGTTTGTGTGAGTGAACCTGCAGACGGCGGAGCTTCAGGACCTTTAACTGATGTCTAACTACTAATCCTCATTGTGTTCTGTGCTGAAGCGTCCGGTCGTCTGATGCTGCACTAACTTACTAATGTCCCCCCAGTTCTGGTAGAGATCTAGCTCTCGTCATTCCTGTGTGTGCTGGAATGTGACTGTACTGTTCAACACTGGGACCAATAAAACAGAAATGACACCGAGCTGCACTCAGAGCCTTCTTTTGACAGCTTGTTTCTGGTTTTTGGTCCACCGGGTGGCAGCAGATCCCCTCGACGGAGCGACCGAGAGGCCAGTCATCAACTTTGCCCCAGTTTGACCAGAACCTGTCTGCTCTGCTGCAGCCGTGGGCCAGGTGATGTCCAAGAGTTTAACGGGGGTCAAACAGCGATGAGGCCTCAGGTCCAGGCCCCGGTGTGGCCGTTTTGTTTTTCAGGTTTTTTTTTTTTGTCTGAAAACCCTACGAGGAGCAGCTTGTGAAGGGCCCGGGCAGGGGGCTGGTATGTGCCACTGGGTAGAGGGTCAACTGCCCTCTCTGCTTGAGAGGCAGCGAGCGGGGGGTGTGCTAACCTGGCTCTTCCTGTCAGACTTACTCACAGGGGTATTAATAACCCTGCCTGCCCACAGAGCAGGGCATGAGGGGGCGTCGAGCAGGCCAAGTGGGCATTTTTTTCCTCTGTGGGCGGGGGCTACCCCAGCTGTTCCCTCTTCTCCTCGACAGCGGATGCCGAGAATGGCTGAGGATCTCTGGATCTGGGTCAGGAAGAGAGGGAGGGGAGGGGAGGGGGGTCCAGTTACAGCCGGACTGAATTATGGTCCCACAGAGATGGTCAGATATAAGAGCATCAAAGCCAACGTGAACACAGAGATGCTGAGCCCACCAAAGACTACAGGCCGTGCACAAGTCAAATGTTGCCACTCATAAAAGCACAACTCTTTCCCCAGAGCTGGCTGCAGCTGCAGTAAGTCGCTGAGGTCCAAGTCGACACACTGGCTTTCTAGCAAAATGAACCAAAGCGCTGTGAGGTGCGATAGTGAATTATCTGCCGACATGAAAGCCCAGCAGCTCTCTCTCCGGTTGCATCAGAGCCGACAGGTTGTGGGGATTGCATCAGATGAGCGTTTCAACTTTCAGCGGCAGAGCGTCATCGTAACCTTTAATGTAATACCAGTATGTTAACAGGGATTAGTGGCAGAGTCAGCTTACACAGCAGCAACCTTGGCCAAAGATGTCTGGGCGGAAACTGCCGGATGCTGTGTGGCGAGCGTGACAGATGTCATCCATCATCGTCATCGTCATCAGCAGCGTTTCTTTTTAGGATTTATGTGTGTTTGTCTGTGGAAGAGGCTGATGAGAAGTGTGTTGTTTAAGAGGTTTAAGTTATACTGCAAGTGTAGATGATGATGTTTGATGTAAAGAATTCTGAAGTATGAGGTTCCCCAGAAGATGGACTCCTCCACGCTTTTAATAAAACATGAATGTAGTAAAACAGTTTTTCTACGAATGCATTTAAACATGATCTTTAATTTCTGTGTTCTGCTTTGTTTAAAGATACAGAAAGTTATTTTTTTAAACTGCTGGACACAAAACAAACCAGATAGATTCCTGCTTCTTCTCACATTTGCTTACAAATGTATTAAAACAGATAATTAGGGTCCGAGCACCCAAAAGGGTGCGAAGACCCTATTGGAACTGCTCGGATTATTATTATTATTATTAGGGTCCGAGCACCCAAAAGGGTGCGAAGACCCTATTGGAACTGCTCGGATTATTATTATTATTCGTGCCAAAGACACGCGTTTTTGAGGCCCTAAACATACTCGAAAACTCACCAAAATTGCCATGAAACGTGACCATTTTTGACAAAAACGACATGCTATAGTATGACTTTTTTTTTTCAGGACCAAAACACTAAGTGTTTTTTTTCAGGAAGTACCTTCCTAAGCTGACTCTAAACCTGTTCAGGACACTTTTCCCACTATATACTACATCCTGATGCGTTTTCAGGACAT